TATTTAAAAGATACTTTATGTTTTTAAATTAATTTTAACGTTAACTGGATTATGTTTCAGAATTTCGCGCAAAGCTACTCAAGGGTTATCTGCACATAGTAGTCTCTAATTTTCAAATAACAGAGGGAAGGTTAACGATTAAGAGCACCCACCGTTAACACTTAAGCTAGTTTTGTATGACTTAATAATGAAAATTATTTGATTGTCACAGTTACAGAACAGCCACAGCCCTAAGGTGTGGATCGCGTTTTTGCGACAACGGATCGTGAACCGTGAATCTTTAGATTCGTAGTTTGGGAACACTAGCCATTAGGCCGTGTTGGGCTTAGTTTGGATTAACTGATTAATATAGAATTATCACCTTTACAGTTATTATAACACAAACACTTTCTTATAAAGCATTTTCAATACTTCAATGGAGCATTTAACAGGTCGACAGTGATTATTCTTTAGAAAACAAAGTCCAACAGGGATGAAAAAAATGAATCTAATGCATTGTGTTTCCAAAAAAAAAAAAGGTGCTTCCAAATGTAGTAAAGGAGAGCATTGGGGTTGACTGATCCTGATTAAAAATAATTACTAACAAAAATAACTATGATTTCTTAATCAAAATTGTAGATTAATAGTAAATGATAATAAAACACAAAATTATTTAGAATTTGAGCAATAGGTTGAGAGAAAACGTAAATAAACCGGACGTTCCAAATTAAACTCTTTCATATTTTGAGATTGGTTTACGGAAGAGAAATTAATATACTGACAACCTTTTATACTGACACCAGTTCTCGTTACAAATGCTTTTCATAAGTTTAATAAAAACGTAGATATTGTGGTCGTGATAAAAAAATGTTTTTCGTTTTTTTTTACAACTACTGCAATAACTGTGTCAAAACCATTCAGGAATATAAACAGGTTGGAGCTTATGCATAATTAAAGGCTAGTTTATGTTATAACACATTTTACACAACTGTAATTTCGAGGAATAAGGGAGAATAAAACATGAACAGTTAACTTATTTTTATAAAAATTTTAGGCCCATTGGTTGCCCAATGTTTCACTAGTTTTTGGCGTTTAAATTCTTACGTTTTATGGAGTTATACATGTGGGTGATAAATGTGAAACTTCAATAACCTGTTTTTCGTGGAACAAGCCAGTAATTTAATCACATAATAGCACACATAAGTTATTTTTCTTGTAGGCACATGCTCTAGACTCTACTGTAAGTTTCCTTTTCCTTCTTGTTACAACTGGTTAACCTACCTTTCCATACATAGAAATAACTAGGTTTACAAGAAACTTTCTGACTCCAAAATAGTGTCGAAAAATGTCCGTACACACGAGACCCGGATGAAGTGAGTAAGTTGTTACACCTAGGTGGAAAGAATAAAGATCAAATATTTACAGTTATACTTCGATATTAGTAAAATAGTTAGATAAAATTACAACAACAATTTTTATAGGGTGGTCACTTTTCCGAGCTGCTGAAGCATGATTATAATTAATTATATTTGTCATCAGGCATTAGCAATATATTCTTAACATTACATTCTCTATCTCGTCCCTTAAAGACTTTTAATAATTAGAAAAAATGTAAAATAATAGTGTTCCAACCTCACCATATAATGAGCCTTGAATAGGCAAAACCACAGCAGAGGGTACGACCAATTAGGGAATGCATTAAACCTCCACGTCACACATTTTTTTTTTAAATTCTACCTTTGGTGAAAGTAATCTGTAACATACAAGTAGAATTATATAAATAGTGTTGCAGTCACTACTGTGTTTATTGTGTTCCAGTTGGCCTGACAAACTCTGAAGTGAGCGAAACACGCTTTCGGCAATGGTGTGGCGAAAAGTGTGTTTGGAATACCATTATTAGACAATCTTCTAATTCTTGAAAATCCCCAAGGGTCTAAATAGATAATGCAGTGTTAGAAAATATAACAGGCCTAATACTAACGTCTGATGATAAGTATAATTAATAGATACAATTACACTTTTCATATTTCAAAACGAAATGAACATAATTTACACAAAGGAGATAACGCAGAAACATTTATATCGTGAAATAATATTAAAATAAATGAAAATATAGTGAAAATACAAAAATAGTTTAATTTGGCATTTAATTCAATGAAAAATTAAATCAGAACAATGATTCTCATTCCTGCTGATAATGTTAATTGTGATCCTGATTAATTTGTCATTGAATTTAAATAACAAAATTAGATAATTTTTGACTTTTATATATTCTTTTCTCTTACTTCCATCATTTACTCTAGTAGTATAAATTATTTTTCAGTTTGTCCACATTCACAAACCCACTATTATAATTTGTTATAATTGTGAAGTAATAACCTCCACGAGCGTTGAATTATGTAAAGTCAAATGTATACTTTATTAAAAGAAATATTTGGTAACTTCATTCTGCTACAAATACTTAATTAAATTTAGATTATTGAATTAAAAAAATGATTTTTTAATGAGCAATTGCTGTTATTGCAGGAAAAACAAGTTTCAAAGTTCAGTGTTCAATTTTACTCTAAAAACAGTAAACGTGCATGTGCACTCACGACCTGTAATACAGAGCTCTATCTAATGGAGTTAACATACATTCTTATAATTTTTTTTTGTTTATTGTATTTGAATTACAAATGGTTTTAATTTAGCAAATTAATCATGTTCTAACTTAAAATGGGATTTTTTAAAGCACTCATTGGAGGAATGCTCAAATTCTAGTTTTAAAAATTTAACTGTTCAGGTTTTGACTAGTCTTAGTGAGTAGGTATGTAATAGAAGGGTTTTATTTAGTGGTTAGACCATGAGGTTACAGGAGGAAACAATTTCATTTTTATTATGGAGTGGTAGATATAAAAGGGAATCTTTAGAAAAATGCAAATATGGCATTAATGTTTGATGCTTTTCCTGCTCTTCTTTATCACAAGTAGGCGTAGCCAATTCCAATCTATAATTAAAATCTAGCGCAGCTATACCAGACGATAATTTAGGTATATTAGGGTTAAAATTAATGTTACAGGTAAAAGTACTAATCTGAGTTCAGTAAATGGTTAAAAAAAAAGAGCAAAAACGCATATAAAACAGTTCTAACAAATGAAAAATATCAAGCAAACGTGGTATTTAAAAATATTACTATATGTAAATATGATTAAATACGAAACTAAAAGTTTTCATAATAAGGTTTTTTTATAATATCAAAAGATGAAGTTTAATAGAAAAATATTCTAAAGAAGTTCAAAGCTTGGCTTGAAACAAATACCATGAACATTACGTCAGAAAACTATCCGTCATTTAAATTGTTGTTTTCGGGTCTCTGCTTTTTTTTTTTGGCATAATGAAAATGGTCCCATAGTGTATACACAACCCACTAATAAGTAAATAAGCACCTCTGAGAATACACATTGACTATCTATGTAACGTATGAATATGGGCATAGCTCAGTAAAGCCCCCCAGAATACAAACAGCCATGTCTCAAACCAAAGGATCTTGGGAATTAACAGTATTTTCATGAGGTCACATAGTTATACAATTGGATAATGTTAAAGTCAGAAAGAAATCGTCAGGTTATTGGATACTGTTGGTTACAATGAATAGGAGGATAACGCAGTTCCATTCACGTCGAAATACAGCAGTTTCTATATGGACTAGTCACTCAAAATCAAAAGAATGGACTTTTAGTTCTGTAAGGAGAAGAGTAGAGAATGATCCACACCAAATCGCCACTATTGTTGTAAAATAGGTGCAAGTGTACCAGAATACAATCGGAAGGTATCTTCATAGCGTGAGCTAATAGGAAGCCACTCTTCACTTCAGGCAATATCGTAGCCTGACAATAGTGGGCATTACAAATGTTATCACGCCATTCTACCTTTTGGGACACTGTAATTTTTCCGACGAGTCCAGAGTTGCACAATTCTCGGACAGTGGACGCGATATCTTATCAGGAACTGTCTTTGAATTATCAGCAAGCCAAACAGACTTTCTATTATGGTGCGGAGGGTCAAATCTTTAACTGCATGCTACCTCTCATGATCTGTAGCAATCAGGCACTAGTTTAATTATCGGTATGTATGATGCGGAGTGCCATTTGGCCAGTTGAACTATCACAGATTGCGTGGTATTGGAGGGCTCGATACATCACAGTTTGCGAACAAGACCCTCTGATTTTCTACGCCAATGACCAACTCACCAAGTAAGATAGCAGTTTCAAGCAAGATTTGGTTCCTTCATTCAAGTAACAAAATGAAGGCTTGAAGGTCAGGGCATTACCACTCTTTCGGGGCCAGCCCAGCTGCCGGATATGAGCCCTGTTGGCACTCGTGTGGTCATCCTTCATAGTGTCCAAACAGCAATCTCTTAGAGACACCTTCATTCAAGTTGTTCGCCAGGAGAGGGGAGCAATCCCACAGGCTCAGATTTCTGTCTGAAATACTGCAAAGATCAAATCTCTAAGTTCGACCAATAATCTTGTTTCATTTGTTACATGTCTTTTTAAATTGCGTTCATTCTGGAGTGGGTATGTGTCGACTTATCTGTGCATGTAAATAGTCTTTACAAACGAAATTATTATACAACATAAAATATTCCCATTTTGCAAACATCCAGGTTTGTTCTTCACGTTACTTATAAGCATCGCTATTAATGTGATAATGTGAGTTTTAACATAAACCTAAATTCTTCTTTCGTCCAGCCCTCCAGTTGTTCAGTGGTAAGCCTGAAGGATTATAATGCCAAAAAGCTGGTTTCAATACCCGTGGTGGGCACAGCACAAATGGCCGGTTGTGTAGCTTTGAGCTTAAGAACAACAAACAAACAAAAAAAATAATTTTGTACAAAGAAAATATTTTAACTTAATAAAGCAATTAAAACATCAAAGAATTTTTTTCTGCAAAAAAAATCATGGAAAATAATGTATGGCTTTCTAACTATATTCTTTCTTCTGGTTGCACCCCGGTGGCTCAACGATAAGTACGAAAGCTTATAATTCTGAAAATCCGGTTTCTATGCTCCCAGTGGGCAGAGCAAAAATAGTCCGTTGCATAGCTTTCTGTCTAACTACAAATCCTTCTCGTTATACGTGGTTTTCGAAACGTTGGTGAGAGTGGGTGGGGGTATTGTAAAGTGCTTACAATGTTGTAAGTTGTATAGTAGTCAGTAGAGTGCTTACCAATGTTGTAAGTTGTATAGTAGTCAGTAGAGTGCTTACCAATGTTGTAAGTTGTATAATAGTCAGTAGAGTGCTTAACAATGTTGCAAGTTGTATAGTAGTCAGTAGAGTGCTTACCAATGTTTTAAGTTGTATAGTAGTCAGTAGAGTGCTTACCAATGTTGCAAGTTGTATAGTAGTCAGTATATAGTAGTCACTGAACTTTGAAACTTGTTTTTCCTGCTTAATTTCCTGATGATTTTTCCAAGCCCGTTCCCTTGGCTGTGGTTTCGCTAGGAGGAAATCTGTTCAGTGCTGCAGATTATCGCACATCTTTTATACTTTGTTGAGATCACAATAATTTGTAGCACAACCAGTACTTTTCACAGATCTGTTAAGATAACTTCAGATTGATAAATGTTACATTTTTAGTACGTTAACTCAGTAAAATAAAATATTTTGAAATTCCTTTACTTGAGCTCGTTTCCACACTGATGCAATTAATTACGCTCATTTCAGCATGTTTGTTCAACACTCGTCAGTACGTTCATACTACAAGGATACGTACCTAATGAGATTAGGTTATCACAACTGTTTAACTGTGTTCAAAATCGGTAAAACACACGTATATAACAAAAACTTTATTATCATTTGCAACGTTTCGGGCAGAAGCCCTTCGTCAGGCAGTTTAAACACGAAACGTTGCAAATGATAATAAAGTTTTTGTTATATACGTGTGTTTTACCGATTTTGAACACTTTTTTCACACACGTTGTGAATTAAATATAAAACATGCTTCCACTGCTTACAAAGCTGTTTATTATTCTTCATTAAATTTCAGTTATATTAGGTCGTCAAGAAATTAATGCCGCGTTTTGGAACACTTTCATTAACCACCCCCCAAAAACGTACATCACGTATGATACTTAAAC